AAGAAACATAGGCTTCCTAGAAGAACATGCCAAGAGCATCTTAAGGTGACTTTTTGTCCAGTTTCACCCAGGCCTTGAGAGAAAACTTCATGCACTGGTGAAGGTCCAGCTTGCCTGCAACACCAAGAACTCCTCATTAATTGATGACTCTCAGTGACTGGCAAAATATTGGTCTTGAAAACCGATTGAAATCTGGCACTCCTCTATGATGGTGCATGGCATGCAGCCATTCTGAGCAGAATTTTCCCCTGAAAGACAAAGTAAAATGTGGTGCTAAGCAAGGGTTGCTAAAATGCCCAAGACCTGGGATGAGGATTAAAGTATAAGGATAACATGATGAATTTTTATGGAGGAGCATATTCACATGCCTCACAAGATGGTCTCCCGTACTGCTAGTTCTCCAGAACCCAACTCAATCGTACTGAAGGGACCATCATCATTTTCTCTATGTTGGTTTCCACAACTTTTGTCTAGGCTGTGCCTCAGCGTCATCCATTGTATGTGATATTTAAGTCATCACCGCTCCTCAAAGCAATATAAAGTACTCATCATTGACCCCAAAACAGTATCTGCCAATCCCATATATGTAGCAAGGACAGTCATATGCTCACCACAATTCAAACAGGAACAGTGTTGGGGAGAATATTTCATTTTCAGAGTATCCATGGCCAGCCACTTCGTTACAGTCCTTTGTTTTTGGATAGAAGTTTATTTCAATGCCAGCTTCTGGGAGAAAAGGAACCAAAAGGGGCTTGTCAAAAAGGAAACTGATACTTCCACTGGGAGGCCTCCTCCCACAGAACTTTCTTCTAAATACATTTAGATGAGATAGTACCTTTCAGTTGGGACTTCTGTTTTTGGGCAATGTCTGGTGATCCCCATGGATCAGGATCCAAAGAACACAGCACACCCAGGGTTCACGGTGATACATATTGGATGTGTGTCCTCTCATATCTCAAGTTATAAAGTGGTCTACAGTGTAATAATTGGGTTTCTTGAGAAATATTTGGAATGTTTGAATCTAGCTTGTTTCTTTTCATCAGTGAGTTTTTACTGCTTGAGATTTCAAGAGTGTCAATGAATTCATAAGTAGATATCATATCTACTTCTTAGTTTGTGTTTCCTCTCAGCATGACTGCAGTACCCTCTACTTGTTTGCATCACCATTCCATATTCCCTGATTCCTAAGATGTGCAACTAAAGTCATCCCCTGGCACAAGTAGAGCAAAAGAATGCTTTAGCATGTATTCAAGAGCCTGGCTCTCCAGTTTCCTTCATGCTCAACAAAATCCTCTTCTCTCTGAGTGTAGAGGAGACATTTGACATCATCAAACACCAAGCTTAGAGCATCTGAAGGCTCTATTTGGTAAAGTCTCATATGGGTCACAATAGAAAAGGTACTCATATTGTTTCAGAGTTCAGTTTGCCTCCAGAACTGAGAGTTCCCATGACTAAGTTGCCCACAGGAACTTATGAATGATGGTTATGACTCCCAATCCCAGCCATGCTCACCCCTAGCATGGTGAGTGCCATTCATCCAGTGTGGGCAGAATATTTTATTGAGAGACACAAAGAGAGAATTTGTGGTAGGAAAGGGGTTGTTAAAGTGCCCGACTTTTGTGAATGGGGTCAAGACATTCAATCAAATTTGCCTATTTCTTGGAGGAGTGCTTCTTCAGGGTTGAGAACCACTGGATAACCTCTCAGGCTTAGATTGCTCCACAAGTAGAGCAATGTCAGTGCCTTCCTCAGGCTCATGTCAGATAGCACACCTGTCATGTAAGAAGGTCCTCATTGTAACTCTACTGCGCAAGACATTTAAGACAACACCTGTCTAGAGACAAGGCAAAGATTTCATCATGACCCTACTAGGATCCTCCTTTGCTGCCTCCTTTTGAAAGAGGCCCATAGGCTCACCACAAGTAACCAAATGAGACCAGATTACTGGAGACTATTTGACTTCTTGAGGAAATGAGGTCAGGCCCCTGGGTTACGTCCTTTGTCCAGAGACTAACAGTTATTCCCAAGGACTTCTCTGAAGAAGGGATCCCTGTGGAAAGGAGGATGACAGCTTGAGTGAACTAGCTGTCTACTACCCCCTTAATTTTGCTGTCTCATACAATTGGTTCATCCACACAATGATGACTTTAGATACCTTCTCATGTGGAATCCATCCAGTAGACTGAGACAGACGTTCCTCCATGACTGGAGTCAAGTCCAGACAGGGTATTTTGATACAGCTTGACATGTCTCCCTTGGTATCACAGGTGGGAAAGAGTTCCTCATTCTCAAAGATGGATTTCCGTAGCAAAGCTTGGTTTTGGAGCAATTTGCAAGGGATTTATCCTGTGTGTTCTCTTATCTTGGGTTCTGAAGAAAGGTGGTGGTTTGAAAAATGTTGGGCAGTCATTTTTGACTTGTGTATCACCTCTCACCAGGATACCAGTGAATTCTCTATGCTCTATGCCACCTTGAAAGCTCTCTAAATTTCCAGAAGGCACCCAGGTGAGGACATGGCCATTTACATCGTGAGACCCAGATAAATTGACTATTATTAAACAAGCCTGATTCTCTCTTTTCCTTAGAGCAGGATAAAAAGCTATTCACTCTGCATTTGGAAAAGAAGCTTGGGCCTCCTAGAACAGCATGCCAAGAGCACCTCAAGAGGCCTTTTTGTTCTTTTTCAACCAGGCCTTGAGAGAAAAACTGCATGCATTGGTGAAGGTTCAGCTTGCCTCAAAGACCAGGAACACCTCCTTGCTTGATGACCTTCGGTGACTGGTAAACTATTGGTCATGACAATGAATCGAAGTCAATCACTCATCTATGATGGTGCATACCATGCCACCATTCAGAGCAGAATTTTCCACTGAAAGACACAAAGTGAGATGTACAGCTCAGCAAGGGATGCTAAAATGCCCACGACCTGGGATGAGGATTAAAGTATAAGGATAATATGGGGAATTTTTATGGAGGTGCATATTCACATGCTCCACAAGCTGGCCTCCCATACTTCAAGTTCTTCAGCACCAAACTCGATCATACTGAAGGGACCATCATCATTTTCCCCATGTCACTTTCCACAACTGTCTTCTAAGCTCGGCCTCAGCGTCATGCTATTGTACGTGATATTTAAGTCATCAGCGTTCCTCAAGGCAATATAAAGTACTCATCATTGACCCCAAAATGGTATCTGCCAATCTCATATATGTAGCATGCAGTCATATGTTCACCACAAGTCAACCAGGAACAGCATTTGGGAGAATATTTCATTTTCAGAGGATCTGTGGCCGGAGACCTTGTTATAGTCCTTTGTTTTTGGTAGAGAAGCTTATTTCAAGGCCAGGTTCTGGGAGAAAAGGAGACAAAAAGGGCGTGTCAAAAGGAAACTGATACTTTCACTGGTAAGCCTCCTCCCACAGACCCTTCTTCCAAATACATCTAGACGGGACAATACATTTCAGTTGGGACCTCTGTTTTCAGGCAACGTCTGATGATCCCCATGGATCAGGAGCCAAAGAACACAGCATACCCAGGGTTCAGGGTGATACATATTGGATGCGTATCCTCTCATATCTCAAGTTATAAAGCAGTCTACAGTGTAATAATTGGATTTCTTGAGCAATATTTGGAATGTTGGAATCTAACCTGTTGCTTGTAATCTGTGAGGTTTTACCACTTGATCTTTCAAGAGTGTTGATGAATTCACAAGTGGATATCATATCTGCTTCTCAGTTTGTGTTCCCCTCTCAACATGACTGCAGCACCCTCTACTTGTTTGCATCACTATTCCACATTCCCTGATTCCTCAGAAGATGTGTAACTAAGGCCATCATCTGGCACAAATGAGCAAAAGAATGCTTTAGTATGTATTCATGAGCCTGCCTCTCCAGTTTCTCTCATAATCGACAAAATCCTCTTCTCCCTGAGTTTAGATGAGACCATGGACATAATCAAACACCAGGTTTAGAGCACCTGCAGGCTCTCATTGCTCCAGTCTCATATGGTTCTTAAGAGAAAAGGTACTCATATTGTTTCAGAGTACAGTCTGGCTCCAGATCTGAGAGTCTCATGCATAAGTGGCCCACAGGAACTTTTGAATGATGGTCATGACTTCCAATACCAGCCATGCTCTCTCATAGCATGGTGCATACCATCCATCCAGCGTGGGCAGAATATTTCATTGAGAGACACAAAGAGAGAATTTGTGATAAGAAAGGGATTGTTAAAGTGCCCGACTTTTGTGAACGAGGTCAAGATGTTACAATCGAATTAGCCTATTTCATGGAGGAGTGTTCCTCAGAGTTTAGCAATTCTGGACGGCCTATCTGGCTTAGAGTGCTCTATAACTAGAGCAATGTCAGGGACATCCTCAAGCTCACATCAGTTTGTACACCTGTCATGTAAGAATGACCTCAACATAACTCTATTGTGGAAGACTTTTAAGACAATACCTCTCTAGAGACAAGGCAAAGATTTCATCACTGACCCAGCTAGGTATCCTCCTTTGCTGCCTCCCTTTGAGGCTCACCACAAGTAACCAAATGCAACCAGATTACTGGAGACTATTTGACTTTCTGAGGAAATAAGCCCAGGCACCTAGGTGACATCCTTATTCCAGAGTCTAACAGTTATTCCCAAAGACTTCTCTGAAGAAGGGATCCCCGTGAAAAGGAGGAGGACAGCTTGAGTGAACAAGATGTCTACTACCTCCCTAATTTTTCTGTCTCATACAATCAGCTCATCCACATAATGATGAAATTAGATACCTGCTCATGTGGGATCCATCCCGTAGGGTGAGACAGAAGTTCCACCATGACTGGTGTCATATCCAGACAGGTACTTTTCATACAGCTTGGACATACCTCTCTTCATATCTCAGGTGGGAAAGAGTTCCACATTCTCAAAGATGGATTTCCATAGCAAACTTGATTATGGGGCATTTTGCCAGGGGTTTCACCTGTGTGTGTTCTCAGATCTTAAGTTCTGAAGAAAGGTGGGGGTTTGAAAAATGTTGGACAGTCATTATTGACTTGTGTGCTCCCTCTCACCAGGAGAGCAGTGGATTTTCTTTGGTCTGTGCCACAATTCCTAGCTCTCTAAGTTACCAGAAGGCACCCAGCTGAGGAATGTCCATTCACATCATGAGCTACAGATACATTGACTATTATTCAACAAGTCTGATTCTCTCTTTTCCTTAGAGCAGGACAAATGTCTATTTGCCCTCCTTTTGGAAAAGAAACATGGGACTCCTAGAACAGCATATGAAAAGCATCTCAAGGCGCCTTTTTCTCCAGTTTCACCCAGGCTTTGAGAGAAAAACTGCATGCAATGGAGAAGGTCCAGCTTGCCTCCAATACCAAGAACAACTCCTTGATTGATGACCCTCAGTGACTGATAAACCATTGCTCATGACAACCAATCGAAGTCATGCACTCCTCTAAGACAGTGTATGCCATGCAGCCATTCTGAGCAGAATTTTCCACTGAAAGACACAAAGTGAGATGTGATGCTCAACGGATGCTAAAACACCCAGGACCTGGGATGAAGATTAAAGTATAAGAATAAAATGGGGAATTTTTATGGAGGAGCATATCCACATGCTCCACAAGAAGGCCTCCCGTACTTCAAGTTCTTCAGCACCAAACTCGATCATACCGAAGGGACTATCATCTTTTAGCCATGTTGGTTTCCACAACTGTCTTCTAGGCTGGGACTCAGTGTCATGCCATTGTACATGATACTTAAGTTATTACCGCTCCTCAAGGCAATATAAAGTACACATGATTGACCCAACAACAGTATCTGCCAATCCCATATATGTAGCAAGGACAGTCATATGCTCACCACAAGTCAACCAGGAACGACATTTGGGAGACTTTTTCATTTTCAGAGATCTAGTGGCCAACCAAATCGTTACAGTCCTGTGTTTTTGGGATAGCAGCTTATTTCCAGGCCAGTTTCTGGGATAAAAGGAGTCCAAAAGTTCTTGTCAAGAAGGAAACTGATACTTCCACAGGGAGGCCTCCTCCAACAGACCTTCCTTCCAAATACATCCAGACGAGTCGATACATTTCAGTAGAGACCTCTGTTTTCGGGCATCATATGGGGATCCCAATGGATCAGGAGCCAAAGAACACAGCATACCCAGGGTTCAGGGTGATACATATTAGATGCGTGTTCTCTCACATCTCAAATTATAAAACGGTCTACAGTGTAATAGTTGGGTTTCTTCAGCAATATTTGGAATGTTTGAATCTAGCCAACTGCTTATAATCAGTGAGTTTTCACCGCTTGAGCTTTCAAGAGTGTTGATGAATTCATATGTGGATATCACATCAACTTAGTTTGTGTCCCCTCTCAACATGCATGTAGCACCTTCTACTTGTTTGTGTCACCATTCCACATTCCCTGATTCCTCAGAAGATGTGCAACTAAGAACTTTGTCTGGCACATGTTGAGCCAAAATTGCTTTAGCATGTATTCATGATCATGCCTCTCCAGTTTCACTTATTTTTGAAAAAATCCTCACCTCTCTGAGTTTAGAGGAGACCCTGGACATTATAAAACACCAGTCTTAGAACATCTGTGGTCTCTCTTTGCTCCAGTCTCATATGGGTAGCAAGAGAAAAGATACTCATATTGGTTCAGAGCTCAGTTTGACTACAGAACTGAGAGTTCCCAGGACTAAGTTGCCCACAGGAACTTATGAATGATGGTTATGACTCTGAATCCCAGCCATGCTCTCCTCTAGCATGGTGTGTGCCATGCATCCAGCGTGGGCAGAATATTTCATTGAGAGACACAAAGAGAGAATTTTTGGTATGGAAGGGGTTGTTAAAGTCCAGGTTTTGTAAACGGGTCAAGACATTAAAATTGAATTTGCCTATTTCACGGAGGGGTGCTTCCTCATTGTTGAACACTAGTGGATAGCCTTTCCCACTTAGAGTGCTCCACAACTAGAGCAACGTCAGGGCCATCCTCAGGCTAATGTCAGTTTGCACACCTCTCAAGCATGTAGGTACTCAGCCTAACTCTATTGAGCAAGACTCTTAAGACAACACCTCTCTAGAGAGAAGGCAAAGATTTTATCATTGACCCAACTATGCATAATCCTTTGCTGCCTCCTTTTGAATGAGGCTCATAGGCTCACCAATTATATCAAATGCAACCAGATTACTGGAGACTATTTGACTATCTGAGGAAACGAGGCCTGGCACCTGGGTGACATCTTTCGTCCAGAGACTAACAGTTATTCTCAAGGACTTCTCTGAAGAAGGGATTCCTCTGAAAAGGAGGAGGACAGCTTGAGTGAACAAGCTGTCTACTACCTCTCTAATTTTGCTGTCTCATACACTCGGTTCATCCACATAATGATGAAATTAGATACCTACTGATGTGGAATCCATCCAGTAGGCTGAGAAAGAAGTTCCTCTCTGAATGGAGTCAAGCCCAGGTACAGCTTGGACATGCCTCCCTTCATATCTCAGGTGAGAAAAACTTCCTTATTCTCAAAGATGGATTTTCATAAGAAGGCTTGGTTATGGGACATTTTGTCAGGGATTTAACATGTGTGCTCTCATATCTTGAGTTCTGAGAAAGGTGGTGGTATGAAAAATGTTGGACAGTCATTATTGACTTGTGTGCCCCTGCTCACCAGGAGACCAGTGGATTCTCTTTGCTCTGTTCCTCTATTCCCAGCTTTCTCAGTTACCAGAACTAGCCCAGCTGAAGGCATGGCCATTCACATCCAGCACAACAGATACATTGACTATTATTAAACAAGCTTGATTCTCTCTTTTCCTTAGAGCAGGACAAAAGTATATTCACCCTGCATTTGGAAAAGAAGCGTGGGCCTCCTAGAACAGCATGCCAAAAGTATCTCAAGGCACCTTTTTGTCTGTTTTCAACCAGGCCTTGAGAGAAAAACTGCATGCATTGTGAAGGTCCAGCTTGCCTCTAAGAGCAAGAACACATCCTTGATTGATGACCCTCAGTGACTGGTAAGCCATTGGTCATGACAACACATCGAAGTCATGCACTCCTCTAGGATGGTGCATGCCATGCAGCCATTCTGAGCAGAATTTTCCACTGAAAGACACAAAGTGATATGTGGTGCTCAGCATGGGATGCTAAAATGCCCAGGAAGTGGGTTGGGGATGAAAGTATCAGGATAACATGGAAATATTATGGAGGAGAATATCAACATGCTCCACAAGATGGTCTCCTGTACTTCAAGTGCTCCAGCACCAAACTCAATCGTACAGAAGGGACCATCATCATTTTCACCATGTTGGTTTCCACAACTGTATTCTAGCCTGGGCCTCAGTGTCATGCCATTGTACTTGATATTTAAGTCATCACCACTCCTCAAGGCAATATTAAGTACTCATCATTGACCCAATAACAGTATCCGCCAATCCCATATACGTAGCAAGGACAGTCATCTGCTCACCACAAGTCAACAGCATTTGGGAGAATATTTTATTTCCAGAGGATCTGTGTCCAGCCACCTCATTACAGTCTTTATTTTTGGGATAGCAGCCTATTTCCAGGCAAGCTTCTGGGAGAAATGGAGTCAAATCGGGTGAGTTAAAACATAAACTGATACTTCCACTGGGAGGCCTCCTCCTAAAGACCTTTCTTCCAAAAACATCCTGATGAGACTATACATTTCAGTTGGGACTTCTTTTTTCTGGTGAAGTGTGCGATCCCCATGGATCAGGAGCCAAAGTACACAGCATACCCAGGGTTCAGTGTGATACATATTGGATGCATATCCTCTCATATACCAAGCTATCAAGTGGTCTATAGTGTAATAAATGGGTTTCTTGAGCAATATTTGGAATGATTGTATCTAACCTGCTGCTTTTAATCAGTGAGTTTTTTCACCGCTTGGCTTTCAAGTGTGTTGATGAATTCACAAATGGATATCATATCTACTTCTTAGTTTGTGTTCCCTCTCAACATGAGTGCAGCATCCTCTACGTGTTTTCATCACCATTCCACATTCCCTGATTCCCCAGAAGATGCGCATCGACTGGCACAAGTTGAGAAAAAATCCTTTAGCATGTATTCATGAGCCTGCCTCTCTAGTTTCTCCCTTGCTTGACAAAATCTTCTTCTCCCTGAGTTTAGAGGAGACCCTGGAAATCATCAAACACCAGTCTTAGAGCAACTGCGGGTTCTCTTTGTCCCAGTCTTATATGGGTCGCAAGAGAAAAGTACTCATGTCGGTTTAGAGTTCTGTTTGGCTCCAGAACTTAGAGTTCACATGCCTAAGTGGCTCATAGGAACTTATGAATGATGGTCACGACTCCCAATCCCAGTCATGCTCTCCCCTCTTATGGTGTATGCCATCCATCCAGCATGGGCAGAATATTTCACTGAGAAACACAAAGAGAGAATTTTTGGTGAGGAAGTGGTTGCTAAAGTGCCCGGCTTTTGTGAACGGGGTCAAGGCATTACAATCAAATTAGCCTATTTCATGGAGGAGTGTTCCTCATGATTGAGCACCCCTGGTAGCCTCTCCAGCTTAGAGTGCTCCACAACTAGAGCAATTTAGGGCCATTCTCAGGCTCACGTCAGTTTGCACACCTGTCACGCAAGAAAGTCCTCAGCGTAACTTTATTGTTCAGGACACTTAAGACAACACCTTTCTAGAGACAAGGCAAAGATTTCATCATTGACACAACTAGGCATCCTCCTTTGCTGCCTCCTTTTGAAAGAGTCTCATAGGCTCACCAAAATTAAGCAAATGTGATCAGATTACTGGACACTGTTTGACTTTCTGAGGAAATGAGGCCAGGCACCTGGGTAATGTCCTTCATCCAGAGATTAACAGTTATTCCCAAGGACTTCTCTGAAGAAGGGATCCCTGTGAAAAAGCGGAGGACAGCTTGAGTGAACAAACTGTCTACTACCTCCCTAATTTTGCTGTCTCATACAATCGGTTCTTCCACATAATGATGAAATTCTATATCTGCTCATGTGGGATCCATCCAGTAGGCTGAGACAGAAGTTCCTCCATGAATGGAATCAAGTCCAGACAGTGTACTTTTGATACTGCTTGGACATGCCTCCCCTTGTATCTCAGGTGGGTAAGAGTTCCTCATTCTCAAAGATGGATTTCGGAGCAGGATTTATTGAGGACAGAAAAGCTCCCACATTGGGAGGAGGCCTGAAGGGGTAGCCAGAAGGAACAACTTCTAATGTTTGATAGCAGAGGAGGGTGACTATAGTTAACAATATATTTTATATTTCAAAATAGGTAGAAGAGGGAACTTAAAATGTTCCCAACACATAGAGAAGATCAATACTCAAAGTGATGGATACTCTAAAAACACTGACTTGATCATTATATATTCCATGCATGTAACAAACTATCACATATACCTCATAAATATGTACAAAATGTTGTGTATAAATAAAAAGATTTAATTAAACATTCTGTTGAAAGGGTACTTGCACAATGAACATTTGTATACCAACCCTGAATTGTATTCCATATTTTAAAATAAAATTTTTAAATAATAAAAAAATCATGGGTTTCAGTATCAAGGCTTGGTTATGGCATCTTTTGCCAGGAATTTACCCTGTGTGTTCTCATATCTTGAGTTCTGAAGAAAGGTGGTGGTATGAAAAATGTTGGACAGTAATTTTTGACTTGTGTGCCCCCTCTCATCAGGAGACCAGTGGATTATCTTTGCTCTGTGACACCATTCCAAGCTTTCTAAGTTCCAGAAGATGCCCAGCTGAGGACATGACCATTTACATTGTGAGCCACAGATACATTGATTATTATTAAATAAGCCTGATTCTCTCTTTTCCTTAGAGCAGGACAAAAGTATATTCGCCCTCCATTTGGAAAAGATGCTTGGGCCTCCTATAACAGCATGTCAAGAGCTTCTGAAGGCACCCTTTGGTCCAGTTTCAACCAAACCTTGAGAGAAAAATTGCATACTTTAGTGATGGTCTGGCCTGCCTCCAAGCTGAAGAACACCTCCTTGATTGATGAACATGAGTGACTAGTAAACCATTGGTCATGACAACCAATCAGAGTCATGCTCTCCTCTACGACGATGCATGCCTTGCAGCCATTCTGAGCAGAATTTTCCACTGAAAGACACAAAGTGAGATGTGGTGCTCAGCAAGGGATGTTAAAATGCCCAGGACCTGGGAAGAGGATTAAAGTATAAGGATAACCTGGGGAATTTTTATGTAGGAGAATATCCACATGCACCACAAGATGGCCTCCCGTACTTTAAGTTCTCCAGCACCAAACTCGATCGTCCCAAAGGGACGGTCACCATTTTCCCCATGCTGGTTTCCACAACTGTCTTCTAGGCTCGGCCTCAGCGTCATGACATTGTACTTGATATTTAAGTCATCACCGCTTCTCAAGGTATTATAAAGTATTCATCATTGACCCAACAAAAGTATCTTCCAATCCCATATATATAGCAAGGACAGTCATATTCTCACCACAAGTCAACCAGGAGCAGCGTTTGGGAGAATATATCATTTTCAGCGGATCCGTGGCCAGCTGCCTCATTACAATCCTTTGTTTTAGGGATAGCAGCTTATTTCCAGGCCCGCTTCGGGAAGAAAAAGATCCTAAAAGGGCATGTCAAAAAGGAAAATGATACTTCCACTGGGAGGACTCCTCCCACAGACCTTTCTTCCAAATACATCCAGACGAGACAATACATTTCAGTTGGGGCCTCTGTTTTCAGGCAACGTCTGGTGATACACATGGATCACGAGCCAAAGAACACAGCATACACAGGGTTCAGGGTGATACATATAGAATGCGTGTCATCTCATATCTCAAGTTATAAAGTGCTCTACAGTGCAACAAATGAGTTTTTTGAGCAATATTTGGAATGTTTGAATGTAACCTGCTGCTTATAATCAGTGAAGTTTCACCAGTTGAACTTTTAAGAGGGTTGATGAATTCACAAGTGGGTATCATATCTACTTCTTAGTTTTTTCCCCTCTCAACATGACTGCAGCACCCTCTACTTTTTTGTGTCACCATTCCACATTCCCTGATGCCTCAGAAGATGTGCAACTAATGACATTGTGTGGCACAAGTTGAGTGAAAGAATGCTTTACCATGTATTCATGAGCCTGCCTCTCAAGTTTCTCTCATGCGCGACAAAATCCTCTTCAACCTGAGTTTAGACGAGACCCTGGACATCATGAAATGCTAGTCTTAGAGCATCTGCGGGCTCTCTTTGCTCCAGTCTCATACGAGTTGCAAGAGAGAAAGTACTCATATTGGTTGAGAGTTCAGTTTGCCTCAGAACTGAGAGTTCCCATGCCTAAGTGGCCCACAGGAACTTATGAATGATGGTCATGACTCCCAATCCCAGCCATGCTCACCCCTAGTATGGTGCATGCCATCCATTCTGTCTGGGCAGAATATATCATTGAGAGACACAAAGAGAGAATTTTTAGTAAGGAAGGGATTGTTAAAGTGCCCGGTTTTTGTGAACGGGGTCAAGACATTACAATCGAATTAGCCTATTTCATGGAGGAGTGCTTCCTCAGGGTTGCCCATGGATAGCCTCTCTGGCTTAGAGTGTTCCACAACTAGAGCAATTTAGGGCCATTCTCAGGCTCATGTCAGTTTGCACACCTGTCACCTAAGAATGTCCTCAGTGCAACTCTATTGTGCAAAACTTTTAAGACAACACCTCTCTGGAGACAAGACAAAGATTTCATCACTGACCCAGCTAGGCATCCTCCTTTGCTGCCTCCTTTTGAAAGAGGCTAATAGGATCACTAAAAGTAACCAAATAATCTGCAACCAGATTATTGAAGACTGTTTGACTTGCTGAGGAAACTAGGCCAGGCACCTGTGTGATGTCCTTCATCCAAAGACTAACAGTTATTCCCAAGGACTTCTCTGAAGAAGGGATCCCTGTGAAAAAGAGGAGGACAGCTTGAATGAACAAGCTGTCTGCTACCTCCCTAATTTTGTTGTCTCATACAATCAGTACATACACAAATTGATGAAATTAGATACCTGCTCAAGTGGAATCCGTCCAGTAGGCTGAAACAGAAGTTTCTCCATGAATGGAGTCAAGTCCAGACAAGGTATTTTTTATACATTTTGGACATGCCTTCCTTCATATCTCAGGTCACAAAGAGTTCCTCATTCTCAAACATGGATTTCCATAGCAAAGCTTGATTATGCGGCATTTTGCCAGGGGTTTCACCTATGTGTGGTCTCATATCTTGAGTTCTGAAGAAAGGTGGTGGTTTGAGAATGTTGGATAGTCATTATTGACCTGTTTGTCCCATCTCACCAGGAGACCAGTGGATTCTCTTTGCTCTGTGGCACAATTCCAAGTTCTCTAAGTTACCAGAAGGTGCCCAGCTTAGGACACTGCCATTCACATCGTGAACCACAGATACATTGACTATTATTAAACACCCATGATTCTCTCTTTTCCTTAGAGCAGGATAAAAGTGTATTCAGTCTCCACTTGGAAAAGAAGCATGGGTGTCCTAGAACTGCATGCCAAGAGCATCTCAACGTGCCTTTTTGTTGAGTTTCACATATGCCTTGAGAGAAAAACTGTACAAATTGGTGCAGGTTCAGGTTGCCTTGAAGACCAAGAATACCCCCTTGATGGATGACCCTCGGTGACTGGTAAACCATTTGTCATGACAACCAATCAATGTCATGCCCTTCTCTATGACGGTGCATGCCATGCAGCCATTCTGATCAGAATTTTCCACTGAAAGACACAAAGTGAGATGTGGTATTCAGCGGATGCTAAAATGCCCAGGACCTGGGATGAGGATTAAAATATCAGGATAACATGGGGAATTTTTATGGAGGAGCATATCCACATACACTACGAAATGGCCACCCATACTTCAAGTTCTCCAGCACCAAACTCGATCGTACCAAAGGGACTATGATCATTTTCCCCATGTTATTTCCACAACTGTTTTCTAGTCTGGGCCTCAGTGTCATGCCATTGTATGTGATATTGAAGTCATCTCTGCTCTTCAAAGCAATATAAAGTACTCATCATTGACCCATCAACAGTATCTTCCAATCCCATATATCTAGAAAGGACAGTCATATGCTCACCACAAGTCAACCAGCAACAGTGTTTGGGAGAAAATTTCATTTTCTGAGGATCCGTTGCCAAGCCCTTTGTTTTTGGGATAACAGCTTATTTCCAGACCAGCTTCTGGGAGAAAAATGTTCAATTGGGCGTGTCAAAAAGGAAATTGATACTTCCACTGGTAGGCCTCCTCCTACAGACCTTTCTTCTAAATATATCCAGACGAGAAAATACATTTGTGTTGGGACCTCTGTTTTCGGGTAACATCTGGCGATCCCCATTGATCTGGAACCAAAGAACACAGCATACACAGGATTCAGGGTGACAAATATTGGATGCGTGTCCTCTCATATCTCAAGTTATAAAGTGGTCTACAGTGTAATAATTGGGTTTCTTGAGCAATATTTGGAATGTTTGAGTCTAACCTGCTGCTTTTAATCAGTGAGTTTTCACACTTGAGCTTTCAAGCGGGTTGATGAATTCACAAGTGGATATCATATGTACTCCTTAGTTTGTGTCCCCTATCAACTTGACTGCAGCACCCTCTACTTGTTTTCGTCACCATTCCACATTTCCTGATTCCTCAGAAGATGTGCAAGCAAGGACATCGTCTGGCACAAGTTGAGTGAAAAATACTTTAGCATGTATTCATGAACCTGACTCTCCAGTTTCTCTCATGCTCGACAAAATCCTCTTCACCCTGAGTTTAGAGGAGTACCTGGAAATCATCAAACGCCAGTATTAGAGCATCTGTGGATTCTCTTTGCTTCAGTCTCATACCAGTCATAAGAGAAAAGGTACTCCTATTGGTCAGAATTCAGTTTGACTCCCGAAGTGAGAGTTCCCATGCCTAAGTGGCCCACAGGAACTTATGAATGATGATCATGACTCCCAATCCCAGCCATGCTCTCCCTTAGCATAATGCATGCCATCCATTCAGCGTAGGCAGAATATTTCATTAAGAGACACAAAGAGAGCATTTTTGGTAAGGAAGGGATTGTTAAAGTGCCCGGCTTCTGTGAAAGGAGTCATAAATTATAATCAATTTAGCCTGTTTCATGGAGGATTGCTTTCTCAGGGTTGAGCACTCATGGATAGCCTCTCTGGCTTAGAGTGCTCCACAAGTAGAGCAATTTAGGGCCATTCTCAGGCTCATGTTAGTTCTCATTCGTGTCACACAAGAAGGTCCTAAACGTAACTCTATTTTGCAAGATTCTTAAGACAACACCTCTGTAGAGACAAGGCAAATATTTCATCATTGACACATCTAGGCATTCTCCTTTGCTGCCTGCTTTTGAAAGATTCTCATAGGCTCACCAGAAGTAACCAAATGCAACCTGATTACTGGAGACTGTTTGACTTTCTGAGGAAACGAGGCCAGGCAACAGGGTGACGTCCTTTATCCAGAGACTAACAGTTATTCCAAAGGACTTCTCTGAAGAAGGGATCCCTGTGAAAAAGAGGAGGACAGCTTGAGTGAACAAGCTGTCTCCTACCTCCCTAATTTTGGTGTCTCATACAATTGGTTCATCCACATAATGCTGAAATTAGATACCTGCTCATATGGAATCCATCCAGTAGGCTGAGACAGAAGTTCATCCATGAATGGAGTCAAGTCCAGACAGGGTACTTTTGATACAGCTTGGACATGACTCCCTTAGTATCTCAGGTTGGAAAGAGTTCCTCATTCTCAAAGATAGACTTCCATAGGATAGCTTGGTTATGGGGCATTTTGCCAGGGATTTACCCTGTGTGTTCTCATATCTTGAGTTCTGAAGAAAGGTGGTGGTATGAAAAATGTTGGACAGTAATTTTTTACTTGTTTGTCCCCTCTCATCAGGAGACCAGTGGATTATCTTTGGTCTGTGATACCCTTCCAAGCTCTCTGAGTTCCAGAAGGTGCCCAACTGAGGACATGGCCTTTTACATCAAGAGTCACAGATACATTGACTATTATAAAACAAGCCTGATTCTCTCTTTTCCTTAGAGCAGGACAAAAGTATATTTGCCCTCCGTTTGGAAAAGAATAATGGGCCTCCTAGAACAGCATGCCAAGAGCATCTCAAAGCACCTTTTTGTCCAGTTTCAACCAGTTCTTGAGAGAAAAACTGCATGCACTGGAGAAGGTCTCACTTGACTCCAAGCTGAAGGACAGTTCCTTGATTGATGACTGGCAGTGACTAGTAAACCATTGTTCATGATAACGAATCGAGTCTTTCTCTCCTCTACCACGGTGCATGCCTTGTAGCCATTCTGAGCAGAATTTTCCACTGAAAGACACAAAGTGAGATGTGGTGCTCAGCAAGGGATGCTAAAATGCCCAGGACCTGAGTTGAAGAGTAAAATATAAGGATAACATGGGGAATTTTTATAGAGGAGCACATCCGCATGCTCCACAAGATGGCCTCCTGTATGTCAAGTTGTCCAGCACCAAACTTGTTCGTTCTTAAAGGACGGTCATCATTTTCTCCATGTTGGTTTCCACAACTGTCTTCTAGGCTGGGCCTCAGTGTCATACCATTGTATGTGACATTTAAGTCATCACCACTCCTCAAGGAAATATAAAATACTCATCATTGACCCCACAACAGTATCTTCCAATCCCATATATGTAGCAAGGACAGTCATATGCTCACCACAAGTCAAGTAGGAACAGCGTTTGGGAGAATATTTCATTTCCAGAGGATCTGTGGTCAGCCACCTTGTTATAGCCCTTTGTTTTTGGGATAGCAGCTTATTTCCAGGCCAGCTTCTAGGAGAAAAGGATCCCAAAAGGGCATGTCAAAATGGAAACTGACACTTCCACTGGGTGGCCACCTCCCACAGATGTTTCTTCCAAATACATATACGAGACAATACATGTCAGTAGGGACCTCTGTTTTTGGGCAACGTCTGGTGATCCCCATAGATCAGGAGCCAGTCACCTCATAACAGCCGTTTGATTTTGGGATAGCAGCTTATTTCCAGACCAGCTTCTGAGAGAAAAGGAGTCAAAAATGGGCTGTCAGAAACAAAAGTGATACTTTCACTGGGAGGCCTCCTCCCACAGACCTTTCTTCCAAATACATCCAGACGAGACAATACATTTCAGTTGGGACCTCTGTTTTCAGCAACGTCTGCGATCCTCATGGATGAGAAGTCAAAGAACATAGCATACCTAGGGTTCAGGGTGATACATATTGGATGTGTGTTCTCTCATATCTCAAATTATAAAGTGTTCTACAATGTAATAATTGGGGTTCTTGAGCAATATTTGGAATGTTTGAGTCTAACCTGCTGCTTTTAATCAGTGAGTTTTCACACTTGAGCTTTCAAGCGGTTTGATGAATTCACAAGTGGATATCATATGTACTTCTTAGTTTGTGTCCCCTATCAACATGACTGCAGCACCCTCTACTTGTTTGTGTCACCATGCCACATTCCATGATTCCTCAGGAGATGTGCAACTAAGGCCATCTTCTGGCACAAGTGAGCAAAAGATGCTTTAGCATGTATTCATGAGCCTGCCTCTCCAGTTTCTCTCCTGCTTGACAAAATCTTCTCCCTGAGTTTAGAGGAGATCCTGGACATCATCTAACGGCAGGCTTAGAGCATCTGCGGGCTCTCTTTGCTCTAGTCTCATAAGGGTCTCAAGAGAAATGGTACTGATACTGGTTCAGAGTTCAGTTTGGCTCCAGAACTGAGAGTTTCCATGCCTAAGTGACCCACAGGAACTTGTGTATGATGGTCATGACTCCCAATCCCGGCGATGTTCTTTCCGAGTATGGTGCATGCCATCCATCCCATGTAGGCAGAATATTTCATTGAGAGACACAAAGAGAGTATTTTTGGTAAGGAAGGGGTTTTTAAAGTGCCGGCTTTTCCAGGTAAAGAGCCAACAAAGAAAGATAACTACAGACCAATATCTTTGATAAACACAGATGCTAAAATTCTCAAAAAGATCCTAGCAAACTGGATTCAACAACACATCTCAAAAATCATCCATCATGACGAAGTAGGCTTCATCCCTGGGATGCAAGGCTGGCTCAACATTCATAAAATCATAAATGTAATTAAATACATCAACAGATGTCAAAACAAAAACCACATGATTATATCATTAGATGCAGAAAAAGTTTTGATAAAAATCCAGCACCCCTTCTTGATAAAAACTCTCGAACATCTAGGCATACAGGGAACATACCTCAAAGTAGTAAAAGCCATCTATGAGAAACCCACAGCCAGCATACTCCTAAATGAACAAAAATTGGAACCATTTCCTCTGAAAACTGGCACAAGACAAGGATGCCCACTTTCACCCCTCCTGTTCAATATAGAATTGGAAGTCATGGCTAGAGCAATTAGAGAAGAGAAGGCAATCAGGGGTATCCAAATAGGAAAAGAGGAAGTCAAATTATTTCTCTTTGCAGATGACATGATTGTGTACCTTGAAAAACCAAGAGAATCTGTCAAAAAACTCCTTACACTGATAAAGGCCTTTGGCAAATCTCAGGATATAAAATAAATGTGCAAAAGACAATCGCATTTCTTTACACCAATAAACAAATAGAAACTCTAATAAAAACCACAATTCCCTTCACAATAGCCACAAAAAAATGAAATACCTTAGCAACTTCCTAACCAGAGATGTGAAAGACCTTTACAATGAAAACTCAAAACACTGCTCAAAGAAATCAAAGATGGTATGAACAAGTGGAAAAATATCCCATGCACATGGATTGGAAGAATCAATATTATGAAGATGTTCATCTTACCAAAGGCAATCTACATATTCAATGCAATACCTATGAAATTACCAGCAGTATTCTTCTTAGACCTAGAAAAAACAACCAGGAATTCATATGGAAACACAAAAGACCAAGAATAGCAGAACAATCCTCAGCAAAAAAAAAACAAAAAACAAAAACAAAAACAAAGCAGGTGGTATCACATTACCAGACTTCAAACTTTACTATAAAGCTACAATCATCAAAACAGCTTGTTATTGGTATAGGAACAGACATATAGATCAATGGAATAGAATTGAGATTCCAGAAGGAAAACCTAAATTTCTCAATCAACTCATCTTCAACAAAGCCTCCACCACCTGCCACTGGGGAGAGGAGAACCTATTCAGTAAATGGTGCTGGGAAAACTGGCTGACCACATGTAGAAGATTGAAACAGCACCCCTATCTGTCGTCATATACAAAAATTAATTCCAAATGGATCAGAGACCTAAATGTAAAAGCTCAAACCATGAGAACCTTAGAAATGAAGGACATACCGTCATGGAAATTGGAACTGGCATCCAATTCTTGAACAAAACCCAAAACCCATAGGCCATAAGAGATAAGATAGACAAGTGGGACCTCATTAAACTAACAAGCTTCTGCAAAGCCAAAGAAACCATCAAGAGAACAAGGAGACAACCTACAGACTGAGAGAAAGTATTTGCCAACTCCAGGTCTGACAAAAGCTTAACATCTTGGAGCTACAAGGAACTCAAACGTGCTGAAAAGAAAAAAAACAAACAACCTCATTATAAAATGGGCAAAAGATATGAACAGACACTTCACAAAGGAAGACATCTGAGCAGCCAACAGACACATTAAGAAATGTTCAACCTCACTAATCATCAGGGAGATGGAAATCAAAACCATACTGAGATGCCACCTAACTCCAGTCAGAATGGCAATTATCAATAACTCAAAAAATAACGGTTGCTGGAGAGGGTGTGACAAAAAGGGAACACTTCTACACTGTTGGTGGGAGTGCAAACTAGTGCAACCTCTGTGGAAAACAATATGGTGATTCCTAAAAGCTCTAAATATTGACCTCCCATATGACCCCGCAATCCCTCTACTGGGAATATACCCTGAAGAACTCAAATCACTCTATAAAAAATATACCTTCACACGAATGTTTATCACAGCATTGTTCACAATAGCAAGAACCGGAAGCAACCATACTGTCCATCAAAAGAGGACTGGATTAAAAAAATGTGGCACGTATACATGATGGAATACTACGCAGCCATAAAAAGAACAAAAACATGAATTTCACAGCAACCTGGATGGAACTAGAGTCTATAATACTGAGTGACCTCTCACAGAAACTAAGATATGAGTATCACACGTTCTCACTCATATAGTGGACCTTGATCATCCAAAGCACTACCATAAGAGAATGACTGACAGTGGTGGGAAACTATGGGTGGAGGGGAAGGGGAATGGGACTAATGGTAGTAAACATCTGTCTGGGGATGAGGAGACACCTGTTATCAACAAGGCAGACTAAATGAAGCATATTTGTATACCTAACCCTGAACTGTACCTCACAACTTCATAATAAAAAATATGGATAAAAAAATAAAGTGCTGGCTTTTGTGAACAGGGTCAAGACATTGAAATTGAATTAGCCTATTTCATGGAGGAGTGCCTACTCAGGGCTGAGCATCCCTAGATAGCCTTTTTGGCTTAGAGTGCTCCACAACTAGAGCAATTTAGGGCCATTCTCAGGCTCACAGCAGTTTGCACACATGTCACGCAAGAGGGTCCTCAGTGTAACTCTATTGTGCAAGACTCTCAAGACAACACCTCTCTAGAGAAAAGGCAAATATTTCATCATTGACACACCTAGGCATCCTTTTTTACTGACTTCTTTTGAAAGAGGCTCATAGGCTCATCAAAAGTAACCAAATGCGAACAGATTACTGGAGACAATTTAACTTTCTGAGGAAACAAGGCCAGGCACCTGGGTGATATCCCTTGTCCAGAGACTAACAGTTATTCCCAAGGACTTCTCTGAAGAAGGGATCCTTGTGAAAAAGAGGAGGATATTGAGTGAATAAGCTGTCGACTACCTCCCTAATTTTGCTGTCTCATACAATCGGTTCATCCACATAAGGATGAAATTAGATACCTGCTCATGTGGAATCCATCCAGTAAGCTGAGACAGAAGTTTCTCCATGACTGGAGTCAAGTTCAGACAAGGTACTTTTTATACAGCTTGGACATACCTTCCTTCATATCTCAGGTGGCAAAGAGTTCCTCATTGTCAAACATGGATTTTTGTAGCAAAACTTGATTATGGGGCATTTTGACAGGGGTTTCACCTGTGTGTGTTCTCATATCTTGAGTTTGGAAGAAAGGTGGTGGTTTGAAAATGTTGAATAGTCATTATTGACTTGTGTGCACCCTCTCACCAGACCAGTGGATTCTCTTTGCTCTGTGATACCATACCGAGCTCTCTAAGTTATGAGAAGTCTCCCAGCTGAGGACATTGCCACTCACATTGTGAACCACAGATACAAACAAGCCTGATTCTCTCTTTTCCTTAGAGCCGGATAAAAGTGTATTCATCCTCCACTTGGAAAAGAAGCAGGGGCATTCTATAACAGCATGCCAATAACATCTCAACGCACCTTTTGTCCAGTTTCACCCAGGCTTTGAGAGAAAAACTGCATGTATTGGTTCAGGTCCAACTTGCCTCCAAGTCCAGGAACACCCCCTTGATTGATGACCCTTGGTGACTGATAAACCATTGGTCATGACAACCAATCGAAGTCATGCACTCCTCTATGACGGTGCATGCCATGCAGTCATTCTGAGCAGAATTTTCCATTGAAAGGCACAAAGTGCGTTGTGGTGCTCAGCAAGGGATGTTGAAATAGCCAGGACCTGGGATGAGTATTAAAGTATCAGGATAACATGGGAAATTTTTTTGGAGGAGCATATCCATATACTCCCCATGATGGACTCCCATACATCAAGTTCTCCAGCACCAAACTCAATCGTATCGAAGGGACCATCATCATTTTCCCCATGTTGGTTTCCACAACTGTTTTCTAGGGTGGGCCTCAGCATCATGCCATTGTACATGATATTGAATTCATCAATGCTCCTCAAAGCAATATAAGGTACTCACCATTGACCCATCAATATTACCTGCCAATCACATATATGTAGCAGAGACAGTCATATACTCACCACACATCAACCAGCAACAGCGTATGGGAGAATATTTCATTTTCAGAGGATCTGTGGCCATCCACGTTGTTACAGCCCTTTGTTTTTGGAATAGCAGTTTATTTCCAGGCCAGGTTCTGGGAGAAAAGTAGTCAAAAAGGGTGTGTCAAAAAGGAAATTGATACTTCCATTGGGAGGCCTCCTCCCACAGACCTTTCTTCCAAACCATCCAGATGAGAAAATACATTTCTGTTGGGAGTTCTGTTTTCGGGCAATGTCTGACGATTCCCATGAATCAGGAGCCAAAGAACACATCATACTGGGTTCAGGTTGATACATATTGGATGTGTGTCCTCTCATATTTCAAGTTATAAAGCAGTCTACAGTGTAATAATTGGGGTTTTTTAATAGTTTAAAACAGAATTTATTAGAAAGAGACATGTCTAAAGGCCATGCACATCTTTTTTTAAAATCAATATTTTTATTATGATATTGTGGGGTACAGTTAAGGGTTAGGTATACAAATATACTTTATTCAGGTCCCTTTGTTGATAACAGGTGTCTCCCTGTCCCCAGACAGATGTTTACTACAATTGGTCTCATCCCCCTTCCCCCCCGCATAGTTTCCCACCACTGTCAGTCATTTTCTTATGGTAGTGCATTGGATGATCAAGGTCCACTATATGAGTGAGAACATGTGATACTCAGATCTTTGTTTCGGTGAGAGATCACTCAGTATTATAGACTCTAGTTCCATCCAGGTTGCTGCGAAATTCATGTTTTTGTTCTTTTTTATGGCTGCATAGTATTCCATCGTGTATATGTACCATATTTTTTAAAATCCAGTCCTCTTTTGATGAACAGCATGGTTGCTTCTAGGTTCTTGCTATTGTGAACAATGCTGCGATAAACATTTGTGTGCAGGTATCTTTTTATAGAGTGATTTGAGTTCTTCAGGGTATATTCCCAGTAGGGGGATTGCAGGGTCATATGGGAGGTTGATGTTTAGAGCTTTTAGGAATTGCCACACTGCTTTCCACAGAGTTTGCACTAGTTTACACTCCCACCAACAGTGTAGAAGTGTTCCCTTTTTGCCACACCCTCTCCAACAACTGTTATTTTTTGAGTAATTGATAATGGCCATTCTGATTGGAGTTAGGTGATATCTCAGTGTGGTTTTGATGTGCATCTCCCTGATGATTAGTGAGGTTCAGCATTTCTTCATGTGCCTGCTGGCTGCTCGGATGTCTTCCTTTGTGAAGTGTCTGTTCATATCTTTTGCCCATGTTATAATGGGGTTGTTTGTTTTTTTCTTTTCAGCACGTTTGAGTTCCTTGTAGCTCCAAGATGTTAAGCCTTTGTCAGACCTCGAGTTGGCAAATACTTTTTCCCAATCTGTAGGCTGTCTCCCTGCTCTCTTGATGGTTTCTTTGGCTTTGCAGAAGCTTGTCAGTTTAATGAAGTCCCACTTGTCTATCTTATCCCTTATGGCCTGTGGGTTTCGGGTTTTGTTCAGGAATTGGAATCCAGTTCCAATTTCCATTAAGGTATGTCCTTCATTTTCTAAGGTTCTTATGATTTGAGGTTTTACATTTGGTTCTCTGATCCATTTGGAGCTAATTTTTGTGTATGGGGATAGATAGGGGTCCTGTTTCAATCTTCTATATGTGGTCAGCCAGTTTTCCCAGCACCATTTACTGAATAGGTTCTCCTCTCCCCAGTGGTAGGTGGTGGAGGCTTTGTTGAAGATGAGTTGATTGAGAAATTTAGGTTTTCCTTCTGGAATCTCAATTCTAATCCATTGATCTATATGCCTGTTCCTATACCAATACCAAGCTGTTTTGATGATTGTAGCTTTATAGTAAAGTTTGAAGTCTGGTTATGTGATACCACCTGCTTTTTTTTTTTTTTTGCTGAGGATTGTTCTGGCTCTTCTTGGTCGTTTGTGTTTCCATATGAATTCCTGTGTTTTTTTTCTAGGTCTGAGAAGAATGTTGCTGGTAATTTGATCGGAATTGCATTGAATCTGTAGATTGTCTTAGGTAAGATGGACATCTTCACAATGTTGATTCTTCCAATCCATGAGCATGGGATATTTTTCCACTTGTTTGTGTCATCTTTGATTTCTTTGAGCAGAGTTTTGTAGTTTTCATTGTAAAGGTCTTTCACATCTCTGGTTAGGAAGATGCCAAGATATTTCTTTTTTTTTGTGGCTATTGTGAATGTAATTGTGCTTTTTATTTGGGTTTCTGTTTGTTTTTTATTGGTGTAAAGAAATGAGATTGTCTTTTGCATATTTATTTTATATTGTGAGACTTTACTGAAGGCCTTTATCAGTGTAAGGAGGTTTTTGACAGATTTTCTTGAGTTTTCAAGGTACACGATCATGTCATCTGCAAAGAGATATAATTTGCCTTCCTCTTTTCCTATTTGGATAATTCTGATTGCCTTCTCTTCTCTAATTGCTCTAGCCATGACTTCCAATACTATATTGAACAGGAGGGGCAAGAGTGGGCATCCTTGTCTTGTTCCAGTTTTCAGGGGAAATGATTCCAATTTTTGTCTGTTTAGGAGTATGCTGGCTGTGGGTTTCTCATAGATGGCTTTTACTACTTTGAAGTATGCCTAGATGTTTGAGGATTTTTATCAAGAAACAGTGCTGGATTTTATCAAAAGCTTTTTATGCGTCTAATGATATAATCATGTGGGTTTTTTTTGACATCTGTTGATGTATTTAATTACATTTATGGTTTTACGAGTGTTGAACCTGTCTTGCATCCCAGGGATGAAGCCTACTTGGTCATGATGGATGGTTTTTGAGATGTGTTGTCAAATCCGTTTTGCTAGGATCATGTTGAGAATTTTAGCATCTATGTTTATCAAAGATATTGGCCTGTAGTTCTCCTTCTTTGTTGAGTCTTTACCTGGCTTGGGTATCAATGTGATGTTAGCTTCATGAAATGATTTGAGGAAGATTGCGTCTTTCTCAATCGCCTGAAATACCTTCAGTAGGATTGGAATCAGCTCCTCCTTAAATGTCTTGTAGAATTCTGCTGGAAGGCCATCTGGTCCAGGGTATTTTTTATAGTTAGCTTTCTTATTACATAGTCAATTTCCTTGATCGTTATTGGTCTATTTAGGGTCTCAATTTCTTCTTGTTTCAACCTAGGTAGGTTGTGTGATGACAGAAAGTCCTCCATTTCCTTGAGGTTTTCAAGTTTGTTTCCATATAATTGTACATAGTAGTCTCTAATGATCTTTTGTATTTCTTCAGGGTCAGATTGACTTCATCTTTTGTGTTTCTGATTGTGCTTATTTGGGTTTTTTCTCGTTTTTTCTTGGTAAGTCTAGCTAGGGGACCATCGATCTTGTTTATCCTTTTGAAGAACCAGCTTTTTGTTTCATTGATTTTTTGTATTGTCTTTTTGTCTTCTATGTCCTGGATTTGGGCTTTTATTTTATCTGGATTTTTCTGCTGAAATTAGGGTTTTTGTGGTCTTGCTTTTCCAGCTTCATTAGGTGGGTTGTTAGGCTGTAATTTGTGCTCCTTCCATTTTCTTCATGTGTGTTTGTAGGGATATAAATTCCCCTCATACTACAGTTTTCATTCGTCCAGAGATTTGGTAAGATGTTTCTTCATTTTCATTTGTTTCCAGGTATCTTTTGATCTCTGTTTTGATTTCATCATTGACCCAGGAGTTGTTTAGCATCATGCTGTTTAGTGTCCATGTCTTTGTGGGTTTTGGGGGAATCTTGTTTGTGTTAATGTTTATTTTTATTCCACTGTGGTCCAAAAGGTGCATGATAAAATTTCGGTCCTTTTAAATTTGCTTATGTTTGATTTATGGCCAATTATGTGGTTGCTCTTAGAATACATTCTATGCAGTGATGAGTAGAATGTGTATTCTGTGGTCTTTGGATGGAGTGTTCTGTAGGTTGATTAAGTTCATTTGATCAAGAGTCACATTGAGGTTCTGGATCTCATTGCTGATTTTTTTGTCCTGATGATTTGTCTAGGGTTGTGAGTGGGGTTTTAAAGTCCCCAGTTATGATGGTTAGAGTCAGTATCTTTCTTTTTTTCCCTAGGAGTTGTTTTTTAAAAGTGGGTGCACCTATGTTAGGTGCATGTGTGTTTATGCTATATATTTCTTGTTGATGGAGTGAACATTGTATCATTATGTAGTGGCCCTCTGTGTCTTTTAAATTTTTGATAGCTTAAATATTATTTTGTCTGAAATTAGGATCGTGACTCCTCCTTTCTTTTGTGTTCCATTCGCTTGAAAATTTGTTTCCCATCCTCTTGCTTTGAGTCTGTGCATGTCCTTTCTAGTGAGATGGTTCTCTTGAAGGCAGTATATTGTTGCCTGGTGATATTTTATTCATTTTGCCATTCTATGTCTTTTCAGTGGTGCCTTTAGTCCATTCACATTTCGACTAATTATTGAAATGTGAGAGTTCATCCCTATCATAGAGTTCTTATAGAGTTATTGTTCTTCCACCTAGTTTTTTGTCTTTCTTTTGGTTTTGGGGTTGGTTCATGTGTATTTTATTGTTTTTCCTGTACTCTTGTGAAGAATGTTGTTCTTTTTTCCTTTTCTTCTGTGTTTAGTACTTTCTTAAGTGTTTCATGTAGAGGTTGTCTGGTGGCAGCATACGTTCTTAGGGATTGGATGTCTGGGAAAGATTTTAATTCTCCCTCGCTGATGAAGCTTAACTTGGCTGGGTATGTTATTCTTGGTTGAAATTATTTATGTTTTAGGACTTTGAAGATAGGGCTCTAAGCTCTCCTAGCCTGCAGTGTTTCTGTAGATAAATCTGCTGCCATTCTAATTGGTCTTCCATGGTAGGTGATCTGGCCTTTTTCTCTTGCTGCCTTTAGAATTTTTTCTCTTATGCCTACTTTGTTTAGGTGAATTATGATGTGACTAGGAGTTGGTCTTCTCATTTGTTGTCTTGCAGGGGTTCTCTGAATCTCTTGTTTTTGAATTTTTGCATCATTGATTAGATAAGAGAAGTTTTCTTGAATGATCTCATGGAAGGTTTGTTCCAGTGTGGTCTCTGTCTCTCTTTCTGCCTCAGGAAGGCCAATTACTCTTAGGTTTGGTCTCTTAAAGTAATCGCTGATCTCTTGAAGGTT